TGGTCCACCACATTTTGATTCAGGCGCCTGTGGCCCGGGACCAAGGGTTTAGCTGCACACCCATGTTCAGAGCGATGGGCCCCTTTAATAGACATCTTTACAAATGTGAACAAAATGCAGTAAAAATATAAACTAAGTTAAGAAATGATGTGGTGCAAAGGAAGAGATCAGTGGATGAGGAGGGACGTCTTACCTTCTCATGAGCCTGTATCTAACACAGAGACTCTCAGGAGCCATCGTTTCTGCTGCGAGCTGGTGCGGCACAGAGGCGACGGTGCTGTCAGCAGCCCGGAGGGTGGCTGCCGGACAGTCTTCAAGCCGGCACTGTCCCTCCACTGTTGCAGGGCACCCGGAGCCAACGTGAGCACCAACGTGAGCAGGTCAGTGTACGCAGTGGGGGTACTGGGCCTTTCTGAAAACAATCTGGTCTTATGTGTGGCTGGAACTGACTCCAGTGATGGCTCAGGTCTAATTAAGGAGCTTATAAGTAAATCTGCTGGGTTTTTTCTCAGAAATAAAAACTATCTAGAAATGAGCACTCTAAGAAAGCCGGAGGCTAGTGTCACACCTTCTTCTGCACTGCAGCTCTGCATTACAGCTGCTATTTCAAAAGTCCCAGGTACTAAAACCAACTGGAATAAAGTATACAGATTATACATGCATCAAACTGCAACTAAGCTAAATTATCACTGCAGCTAAGTGTTTTCTGACACAACGAATGGTGCTCATTGCTGCCTTCCTCCTAATGTTCACCAGCTTCTGGTTTCAATTACTTTCAGCTTTCTTGAATATAAAAGGACTGGGCTGACCTCTTTCCTGCCAGATGTCTACAGTGAAAGTTTTCATGAAGAGTTCAGCAAAATAAATCCATGATTTCTGGGACCGAGGCTTGGAGCCTGTGCACTGCAGGGAGCTGCAGCGCGCACACTGCGCACACGCACAGCCAAGAGCAGGCCCAGATCTTTTCAACAGGGGGAAATAGACCCAAAACCAACATGAAGACCATAGAGTCAGTGCCAATACCAGACGGTGCCACGCTGGTCTCCCTGCAAAGCCCTTCTCTCCGATTTGGTCCCTAAGATCATCCAACCCAGAGCACCAACCTGGGACCTAGCATGGGGAACAAATCACCCAC